TTAAGTCAGGGCTCTGGCTGGGCCCTTCAAGAACAGTCACGGAGTTGTTGTGAAGCCACTCCTTCGTTATTTTAGCTGTGTGCTTAGGGTCATTGTCTTGTTTGAAGGTGAACCTTCGGCCCAGTCTGAGGTCCTGAGCACTCTGGAGAAGGTTTTCGTCCAGGATATCCCTGTACTTGGCCGCATTCATCCTTCCCTCGATTGCAACCAGTCGTCCTGTCCCTGCAGCTGAAAAACACCCCCATAGCATGATGCTGCCACCACCATGCTTCACTGTTGGGACTGTATTGGACAGGTGATGAGCAGTGCCTGGTTTTCTCCACACATACCGCTTAGAATTAAGGCCAAAAAGTTCTATCTTGGTCTCATCAGACCAGAGAATCTTATTTCTCACCATCTTGGAGTCCTTCAGGTGTTTTTTTAGCAAACTCCATGCGGGCTTTCATGTGTCTTGCACTGAGGAGAGGCTTCCGTCAGGCCACTCTGCCATAAAGCCCCGACTGGTGGGGGGCTGCAGTGATGGTTGACTTTCTACAACTTTCTCCCATCTCCCGACTGCATCTCTGGAGCTCAGCCACAGTCATCTTTGGGTTCTTCTGTACCTCTCTCACCAAGGCTCTTCTCCTCCGATAGCTCAGTTTGGCCGGACGGCCAGCTCTAGGAAGGGTTCTGGTCGTCCCAAACGTCTTCCATTTATGGATTATGGAGGCCACTGTGCTCTTTGGAACCTTAAGTGCAGCAGAAATTTTTTTTTTAACCTTGGCCAGATCTGTGCCTTGCCACAATTCTGTCTCTGAGCTCTTCAGGCAGTTCCTTTGACCTCATGATTCTCATTTGCTCTGACATGCACTGTGAGCTGTAGGGTCTTATGTAGACAGGTGTGTGGCTTTCCTAATCACATCCAATCAGTATAATCAAACACAGTTGGACTCAAATGAAGGTGTAGAACCATCTCAGGGATGATCAGAAGAAATGGACAGCACCTAAGTTAAATATATGAGTGTCACAGCAAAGGGTCTGAATACTTATGACCATGTGATATTTCAGTTTTTCTTTTTTAATAAATCTGCAAAAATGTCAAAAATTCTGTGTTTTTCTGTCAATATGTGGTGCTGTGTGTACATTAATGAGGAAAAAAAATGAACTTAAATGATTTTAGCATATGGCTGCAATATAACAAAGAGTGAAAAATTTAAGGGGGTCTGAATACTTTCTGTACCCACTGTATATATTTTGCTGAGGGTGGTGAAAGAGAATCACAGCAATAAGGCTGGGGCTATTAATACAAAAAAAGTGAATTAAAGATGGTAGAAATGCTAAAGCATGTAGACTTGAAAGAAAGTGCAGCAAAGTGCAGCAAATTAAAGCATTAAATTAAAGCATATTCAATACACTGTAAATGTACAGAAAGTACAACTCACAGATGTCAATCTCATGAGCTGTAAAGATAAACTAAGATGAAAAAATCTCTGACAGTTCATGTTTTGAGAAAACATACAAAGATAGGATAGTAGGATATATGTTTCTAATTCACAGTGTGTCTTCACTGTATATAGCAGAGTTTGATTCAATTAACTGTTCCAATGTGGCCTATGTACTTTTTGATCTATTTCCTGTTGTTCCTCTGAAGCTTATTGTGAATTATTCATTTGTATTAGTTTATTGTTTGCAGGAGCTAGTTTTTCATTTTGCATTATTGCTTTTCCTGCAATGTACCTGCCAGTTTACAGGTGCACAGACTATCCCTGTTACAATACATTTAACTGTCTACTTCACAATCCTGTTAAAGTATTACTGAAAAAACATATGATCCTGAATCTTTTCAACCATATGTTTTTGTATTCAGTATGATTTTGATGCCCCTTTTTCCATCACATTCTTTTTTGTATTCTTCTCTGGTTGCAGTAAGATAATATAACATTTTGGGATAAAAGTACAAATGAGCAGTCCAAAACTGGAGGCCAGAATAGCAAATATTTCTACAGCAACACTGAACTTCCCAGGAGACCTGACTTAAGCTGGGATAAAAGTGATCCAGACTGCACAGAATATCAGCATGCTGAAGGTGATCAGTTTGGCCTCATTGAAGTTATCAGGCAGTTTCCGAGTTTACAGGTGCGCAGACTATCAATATTTGTGTGATAGAAATAAGAAATCTATGCTACTGCGGGGAATCAAATATTAGTGCATATCAATTGTTAATCAATAATTAATTAATGCATACAATATTAGATACATCTTTAACATTGGGAAGACAGTGGTTGCACTAGGGAGTCTGTAAATAATAAGGGAAAAATAACATTATTTTACAACTTTAATAGACACTATAAATAACAACAACAAAGTACATTTTCAAAACAAAGGAATGACAGCAATATAAAATTACTGTTGAGTATCTTCTGTTCTGCCCATCAAATGCTTTTTGGTATTATGCTTTGGTCTCAGTAAAATAATATAGCATTTGGGGATAAAGATGCAGAAAAGAAGCCCATAACCTGAAGCCAGAATCGCAAATATTTCCACAGCCACAGTGAACTTCCCAGGAGAGCTGACATATGCTGGAATAAAAGTGATCCAGACTGCACAGAATATCAGCATGCTGAAGGTGATCAGTTTAGCTTCATTGAAATTATCAGGCAGCTTTCGACCCAAAAAAGCAAGTACAAAACAGAGGAGAGCTTGGAGTCCAATGTATCCCAACACAACCCAGAACCATACAGGTGATCCCAGAACACACTCTAAGATGATTTTGTCCTTATATACCAAGAAATTCTTGTAAGGAAAAGGACGGTTGATTGTCAGCCAAAGTATGCAAATCAAAACCTGGATGAGAGTGAAAGCCAGAACACTGAGTCTCTGCTGTGCAGGTCCAAACCATTTCATCACATTACTGCCTGGAAGTGTAGCCCTGAAGGCCATTAACACCACTATAGTTTTCCCCAGAACACAAGAGATACAGAGGACAAAGGTGATGCCGAATGCTGTGTGTCGCAGCATGCAGGACCACTCAGAGGGCCGGCCGATGAAGGTCAGAGAACACAAGAAACACAGAGTCAAGGAGAAGAGCAGCAGGAAGCTCAGCTCAGAGTTGTTGGCTCGCACTATTGGGGTTTCTCTGTGGTAGTAGAAAACTAGTATTATGATCATAGATAGAAAAACTCCTAGTAATGACAACAAGACTAACAGTGTTCCCAGGAGTTCATCATATGCCAAGAATTCTATTTCTTTGGGGATGCAGGCATCTCTTTGTTTGTTGGACCAGTACTCCGCTGGGCATTTCAAACAGTATATTGAATCTGCAAATGAAAAGCAAAATAAAGATGTGTGAAGTTAAATCACTGTTATTATTTGAGGTCAACAATCATAAAACCACATTATAGTTTTCTATAGTTTTCACATAGCAAATTAAACACTGGTACATAGTTTATTTACTTGTTAAGTTACTGATCTCGCCTGCTGGGCAAGATATGCAATCATAACAGCAGATGGGCTTTCCTTTCTGGAGGACCTTGCGAGTTCCTGGCAGACAGCTCTGACTGCAGACTGACACAGGCACATCCTACACATATAAACAAAATATAAACAATTTGTATGCAATTTAAGCGATATGTACATTTAAGTATGCATCAAAATTATAATGCTCAACATCAATATTAAGGTTTTTCAAACAACTTTAAGTAAATCAGTTAAGTCCAACCAGAAATCTGTTTTACCTTGGTCAGTTTGTTTCCCCAGACAACAGGGTTGTTATTCATGATAAAGTGATGACTCTCTGGAAGAGAAGCATCATAAATGCCAACTGTTACTCCTTCCATGGTGTCTTTGTTTGTCATTTGTAAATTAACAAGTTCGTATGTCGCTGGTGAGTCTCCATTATTGTCAAAATAAACTCTTTCTCCTTCCTTAGTTGTGAAATTCACAGTGTTGAGATATTGCAGAACCTAGCAAAAAATATATATACATACGAGTGTAAAACAACAGATTACGGCTGTTGTTACTTTGTCACACTTAACTGGTGCTTCCTCACCTGCCACGGTTCAATGTGTTTAGTCAGAACACAGCTCTCATTGTAAACAGGGCCTTCCTTCTCCTCACATGTGACCAGGTTGTGGAGAGCATGGGCCACAGCATAGACTGATTTGTATACATGTTAATTTCTCAAATACAGTACAAAATACAGAGAAACAACCCATTTAAAATGTACTAGTCTGACATTACATACTTGTTGCATTTTCGCATTTCTGGAATAGCCTGAAATGTGTTAGTTACATAATCCTGTCCTGTGCGAAATGAAAATATGCCTCCAATAACAAAATCCCCATCCTGGGCCAGTTCAGGTCGTTGTACTAAGCCTCGCAGCTGGCACACAAACTCTCCCTGCCCCATTGCAAGAAGCAAGAAGAACAAACTCAACAACAACATGCCTCTGCTTTTTTTTCTTTTTTTACATGACAGGTGAATCAGCTCTACAACTTACAGCAGGGCTTTATACACCTTTGACAACAAGAGGGATGTCATGGTTGTCATGGTTTACCTCAAGCCTCAGGCCACCAGAGGAAAGAAAAGAAGGCAAACATGTTTTTATTTAGGAAAAATGTGGATGTTATTCTTTCTTTGGAAGATTATAAACTGTACTAAATGTTATTAAATCAGAAAGGAGTTAGATATTAAGCTGTACTTATATTAAACTACCAGTCAAATGTTTTGGACACATTACCCAAAGAATCAAATGGGAAAGTGTGTCCATACTTTTGACTAGTTGTGTACGTTGCAGAAAATACTGTCATCTCCATATGTTATGTCAATGAAATCACATACAGTACAGTGGGAAAATGTTAGAGGTACTCTCCTCAATAAAATGAAAACAGGTGACTATTGAGCGTTTGCCTAAAAAATTATATAAAAGTTATAATGCCTTTGCTATCATATTATTTTATGTTTTCAAAATGACTTTGATGCTCCTTTCCCCATCATATTTTTTTTTGTATTAGTCTCTGGTTTCAGTAAGATAATATAACATTTGGAATAAAAATACAAATGAGCAGTCCAAAACTGGAGGCCAGAATAGCAAATATCTCTACAGCTACACTGAACTTCCCAGGAGAGCTGACATATGCTGGAATAAAAGTGATCCAGACTGCACAGAATATCAGCATGCTGAAGGTGATCAATTTGGCCTCATTGAAGTTATCAGGCAGTTTCCGAGCAAGAAAAGCCAGAATAAAACATAAGATGGCCAGAAGGCCTATGTACCCAAGTACAGCCCAAAAACCTACAGCTGATCCCAGAGCACACTCTAAGATGATTTTGTCCTTGAACTGGGTAAAATTCTTAAATGGAAAAGGAGGAGAAATAGTTAACCAGAGGATACATATAACAACCTGGATGAGAGTGAAAGCCACAACACTGAGTCTCTGCTGTGCAGGCCCAAACCATTTCATCACATTACTGCCTGGAAGTGTAGCCCTGAAGGCCATTAACACCACTATAGTTTTCCCCAGAACACAAGAGATACAGAGGAAAAAGGTGATGCCGAATGCTGTGTGTCGCAGCATGCAGGACCACTCAGAGGGCCGGCCGATGAAGGTCAGAGAACACAGGAAACACAGAGTCAAGGAGAAGAGCAGCAGGAAGCTCAGCTCAGAGTT